TTGTAACCGATGTCCTGCCGAGCTGTAGAGGTAGACCTCCAACGAATTAGTCATACAGAACTCTTGCGGTACACCTCCAATTATTTGGTCCTGTGGAGCTCTGAGGTACACCTTCCATCATTTGGTCATGCCGACCTCTGGGGTACACCTCCCATTATTTGGTCCTGCCGAGCTCTGAAGTACACCTTCCATCATTTGGTCCTGTCGAGCTCTGAGGTACACCTTCCATCATTTGGTCATGCCGACCTCTGAAGTACACCTCCCATTATTTGGTCCTGCCGAGCTCTAAAGTACACCTTCCATCATTTGGTCCTGCCGACCTCTGAGGAACACCTTCCATCATTTGGTCCTGCCGACCTCTGAGATACACCTCCCATTATTTAGTCATGCCGAGCTCTGAGGCACACTTCCCATTGTTTAGTCCTGCCGACCTCTGAGGTACACCTCCCATTATTTGGTCATGCCGACCTCTGAGGTACACCTCCCATTATTTGGTCATGCCGAGCTCTGAGGTACACCTTCCATTATTTAGTCCTACCGAGCTCTGCGGTACACCTCCCACTATTTCGCCTCCCCTTTCATCACAATTAGTGATCGCGGTTTGATGTTTTTACTATCTTGCTTCTATCCCCCCACCCTTCATACATCTGAAAATTATTAACAGGATTTTCTTTCATTCGAACAAATGTATGATTATTTTATGATTTACATCCCTTTCGGCTTGATCGGTCCCCGACTCCTTAACGATATGGAAAAACAAGGATTAGATTTCTTTATCTGGGCCCATAATTAACTGGTTGTTCGCCTTCCTTTCTATAGTGGTGTTCTCATACGGAACAGCCGATGAAATTCACTTGTTGGAATAGAAAGTATTATTTGGAGAACTTCTGTTAAGTACACTTTCCTTCAAACTTTGATATGATATTGTCCCCGAGTACGGGTCTTTTTGCCCCATGCAGAAGAATATGGTCCTCAACTTATATTGAATACACGGACATGAATACCATATTTAGAATAAATGTTCTGTCGATATGACTGAAGACGTGTATTCTAAAATAAATTCTTATGAACTTGCGTTGTAAAGCTTTTTGTCAGTTTGATAAACATCACAATGTAATGAATCATTTTTTGAATACAGTACATCATATACCTGTCCTTGAATGGCCATTTTCCCTGTGGTATTTTTCGTCAAATACGTAAATAAATATTAGATGTTCTTTTGTTTATTCAGGTTTGTTTTTTGTTTGTTTTTTTTTTTTTTTGTTTTTTGTTTTTTGTTTTTTTTTTGTTTTTTTTTTTTTTTTTTTTTTTTTTTTTTTTTTTTTTTTGTTTTGTTTTTTTTTTAGATTTTTTTTTATTTGTATTGGTCTGGTTGAAGTACTAATTCATTCCCTTTACGAAAACTACACATAAAAGAATTATTCGAGGAAAGCATTGTTTGTCAAGTGTCTCAAGTCTGTGTGGCTTAAATTGGACCTGAAATCAGGCTGACAAATAACTACACATTTGGTTGACGTTATTTTTTTTCAATTTATTTCATGTTCACAAAACAAAATACATAATATATACTATATATTATAAATATCCTCTGTACTGCCATGCCTAACCATACATTAATACATATATTGCACTTAGAGATTCAGTACATGTTCCTGATAAACAAATTAAAAAATAAACTACCGGAAGTACAAAACTCGGTCCGGTCGTACACGAGACCCCGGATGTGCACAGACCCCGGATGTTCACACTCTTACGTGAAACATGTCGTATATTTCTTTGTCTGGATTTCAATGATTCAGTTCAATTCAAACATTTTTAGACTAAATGGGTATTCTTGTAACAAACTTCAGATTCTTAAAACAAATGTTGGGTTTGATAATTTCAGTTACCCTTCATGACGACAGAGCTGAACAAATGGGGGACCGTGTACGTAATGGAATGGAGAATAAACAACATTAACAGACCAAAACGGTCATGGAATGTACATTCATGAACAAAACATGGAATGAATAAATAATTAAAAGAAAACAAAAATCTATTAAAAGTGATGAACTGGACCCGCCCTTAAAAGATCGACTAGAATTAGAGTATTTTACAAGATACGTAATTGCAATACTTCAGTACTGTAAAACCTATTAACAATAAATAAAATATAAGTTATTCAAAATCCGTGTCGTGGAATGAAATCATTGATGGAATGATGTACACAATCAATTATGTGGTAGTATTTGATACTGATATTTAATATATCAATTATCTGCAATAAAACTTGTTGGCGTAAATGGTGATCCAGCATTTCTTATCTGGAAAACATATATTATACTCGAATTTCAGGTATCGTCTCAATTATATAAACACTCATTATCGTACGCATTGGTGCTTTAAATATCGAGTTAATAAATAACAATTGTTCTCAACAATATCAATGAAGTGGAATGTGTTAGCGAAGGAAACACTGATAATAAATACTTTATCTTAAGTAATGCACTAGAGGTAAAAAACTTTATCAGAAATAAGAGTACGGACAAATGACGTCACGCCAAGGGAGAAAAAAACTTCAAGTACTCCTCATTTACGTTAAAATCAGTTCTCTGCTGCTAATTTTTTTTGTAAGAAGGGAGATAACTCTAATTACGTTTTTAACTACTAAAACCGTGCGTCAAGTTCCAATAATCAGATGAGAAAATGGACAGGCACATTGTCTGAATGAGTATTGGGATATAAATAAACAATAACATAACAAAAAAAAAATGAAAAAAAAATAATAATAAACGAAAAAAAATCATGAAGTAACAGTTGTAAGTATATGAATGTTGAAAACCCACAAAAGATATAAGGCATATTTTAAATACAAAATCCAACAAGCCACGGCTATATATAAAGTTGACTTGTCCGATACTGGATACCGTACTTCTTACACAAAAAATCATGACTAGGTAGTATGCATTGAGATTCAAATATTAAAATGAAAACATTACATAAGCTTTCATACCCAAAAATAGTGTTTCTGCAGCCAGACACATATGGGTGTCCCCTAGCACTTTGAGATTCCACTTTTATACAGAGTATAGAGCAGACTGCCCAAACGACAGGGAACCCGTCAAAGTACCTGTTAAGGCCTATAACGTTACCGACTCGTTAATTAATCAGACGATACTCTTAAATAAATATATATATATACATAAGACGAAGAGTCATAAAACCGTTATCACAACACACACACAGAGCTTTTTGAAGCCATGTGCAATCATTTTATGGTAAATGTACATTAAGTTACTGTTGAAAATCTTGAAAAGTCTGAAATGAAAATGATGACAAATTGAAAAAAGGACTAAGATTAACACGTGAACCTTAAATAAACAAAGTTTTAAAGACATTAACCTAGAAATAATCAAACAAGACTATAGAACGGCTAATTCAACTGTTAACTCAAATCCAACTTTATCTAAAAGTTTCTAAAAATCTCACGTTTGACTATATATTAGTTTATCTAGTAATCTTAAGTCTGACTTTATCTTTGGTAAACTTACACCTGACTTTATCTCAGTCTGTCTAGTAATCGTAAGTTTGACAGGTAATCGAAAGTCTGACTTGTGCCTTAATTTGACTAATAACCTCAAGTCTGACTTTGTTTTCGTCTAACTAATAAGTAAATTGGACCGCAGACTGAATCTTAATTCTTTGACTAGTAATCTGTAAGTCTTATTCTAACTAGTAACCGTAAGGCTTAGTCTGACTTAAGTCTGATTTTGTCATGGTTTCAATATCGATTTTAAGGCTGAATTAGGAAATATATTACTTCTTCATTTGCAACCAAGTCGTAAGTCTTAATTAGTCTATTTCAATCCGGCTTTACAATTCAAACTGATTAAGGCTACCTCGATCTGACCAAAGTCGGACTTAATTATCCTCTATATGGTCTCTGGTTAAATAATCTTCGGACAACAATTGTATTTTTTTTAAACTCCTAATACTTCTAGGACTGTGATGACACATCTGTAAAGTGTAATCCAGTTTTTAAAATTGTTAAAATTGACAAAACGCCTGAGATCAAATCAACATCATGGACAAAAATTGCACTATCCACAAATTAAAAAACCACTCAGAAACCAATAGCATACACATTGATAATTAACATTTCTTCAAAAACATGATATAGCATTGATTTTAACATTGTCTTTCAACATTTCTTTAAATATACGTCTTTACATAATTCAACTTTCAATCTCATATATATTTATATGTTTATATACAGGTCATCATACTGCACAAACAATATGTATACATAGGATCCGCTGGGCTGCCGTACGGCCACTGGAGAAACCAATCACAAGAGTTATCTACCCTTGTGTTAATGATTTACGATATACTAGGCAAACTGTACCACACATACGTGAGGCACACAAGACATACCACATTGAGCCATCAAGTACAGGAAAGATAACATATTACAATGACCCCACAAGTCACTACATGTAGCGATTGTCGCCATATATTTTCAGGGTAGCATGATATGAATATTAAATTTCTATATTCCATATAAATAAATTCCCTTTCTTGTGAGTTATTTCAAACAAATAGTTCTATATTTTTTTTAAAAAAAATCACTCATGTGGAGTTCTTGCGGGCATTTTAGGTTAATATGTTCTGTCCTTTCGTTCTTGTATATAAATCTTCAAAATCTCTCTACAAATAGCAACTAAAGAAAGACATGACCGTAGATAGAAAAATAGAGCCAGGAATATTCCACAATATTCTTGTAGCTTGTTCAATAAAACTTGGAATATCGCGAAAGTACCGGGCATTGCCGATCTTCCCCGGAAACATCCGAAAACTACCATGAGGGAATACTCCTAAATAACATAATCACAATCCGGAGAAAAATAAAGCGAGGTATATGTTTATAAAATAACACTTTAGTAGATCATATATACTCTTCAAAATATCGACGTTACCAAGGCATTCAAGTGTTTTCAAAATTAAAAACAGAATCCTGCTGCAGTTTAAAATAGAGATGATGTCCGTCAGTTCTGTTGCAGTAGCAGCTGCTCGAGTTCGTCAGCTGATCGATAAAGGAAGGCCGCCGACTCCCTGTAGCCGGCTATCAGTTGTTTGATCGTCGCCACCTCACTGGCGCTCAGTTGGTTCTTCGAGGCTTGTTTCTTCATGCTTAGGTCCGTTGGGCCTGTAAAGCACAATGCAATACTGTTATAACTGGCTGATTTGTCTTGTCTCCACGCATAACACGTAAATCATACACAGGTCGAGATTTACAGTAAAACACTCACTATTCCAGATATAACACACAGGAAATCATTCCTTCTGAAGACATTACCTGATACAAACACTATCTTGGAATCTAAGATACACAGATTTGATCTAACCGATTAAAAGATTTGCTAAACGAAATCAACGACTAGAATCATAGGTTTTTAACATTGTTTCCTGGGCGTTTGAACAAGTCCTTAATGTGTTGCACGTATTGACGACACCTTTTGTACATTCGTAGGTGACATTGACGCGTCAAGAGCATCTGACACGATTTCTGATGGTAAGGTATTTTGCTTTCGATTTAGGAAAATGCTTCTTGCAGGAATACATAAGAAAATAAGAATAATTTTCTAAATTTTTGTATTGTATACGAACCTAAGTGAATGCTGTCTATCTGATGGTGAATGCATTGCAAGTGCATTGAGTATGTATAAAATGGGCTGCGTCAACAATCTCTAACGATATCACAGAAAAGAGTGATGTACGCGTAACTTCCTGTTGCGCTTAGACAGGACTAGATATTTCCTTATTGATGACTGGTCCTATAAAGTATTGAACTGAAAACGGATTCTGTTAAAACTCGACGAAATACAAAAGTTGCCTTTGTCCACTTAGGATTACATTTTTGATAACCTCAGTGGGTTAGGCTATACCAATAAAACGTCAGAAGTTTGGAATTTCAATAAAACATTTTAAAAAATGATAAATAAATGTAATTTCGTTTTTAGTTTGATCCTCCGTTGTTAAATAGCGATACAGTATGATAACACTGTACTGACTGTTTACTACAACGTTGCTTGTACAATTTGAAACCTGGTTTGATAATATTGCAATTATCAAAGTCCTGCGACAGATCAGATCAAAGTCATAATAGATACTTGTGGGTAATAAAAACATACCGTTCTGAACAGATGTTGGTGCTATTGGGCTATGTTGAAGCACTGGTGGATGGTGATGCGCCGGATGTTGGTAACCTGGCGGAAATCCGGGACGAAAAATGCCGTTTCCATTGGTGAAGAAAGGCGGATGGAACTCCGGGGGTGGTCTGAAGGCAGGCGGTGGCTGGTGACGCATGAAATCATTAGTAGATGGAGGGTGACGTTCAATCTGAGAGACAGGAGGGGCCTGGGGTGAGGCTCTGGATGGGGGCTGGGAGTGAGGCGAAGGTGTGGCCTGCTGCGGGGGCTGAGACTGGACCACGGCGGGCTGAACTGCGGGCTGTGCTGTAGTCTGATTGGTCGTGCTAAGTACGGAAGGCATAGAACCAGCCTGAAACAGTAAACAATGGTCGTGTTAGATACAGAAGGCATAGAACCAGTCTGAAACAGTAAACAATGGTCGTGCTAAGTACAGGAGGCATAGAACCAGCCTGCAACATTGAGCAAACCTTACAGCTGGAGTTTACATAATAAAATGTGTCCAAGTATCCCAATCAATGTTGTTTTATTCCGTCAATCTAGCTCCTTACAAGAGGCTCTCATTTAATTGACCACAATACGGTATATATTTAATTTTGTCCATTTCAGTCGACTTTTGTTATTTTAAAATTGCCTTGAGGCATTAATTAATAAACTAAAGACTGTGGACCATCACAAACAACTACTCATACAAAATGGAAGCTAAAACTAACGAGTACTACAGCACTGAACTAAAAAAACATTGAAGGAAACTAAATAACTTATAGTGATTGCGTGACAACACACATTTCTCACCGGAAGTGGCTCAAGTCCCATTCTCATTCTTTTGGCGTTTTGGCTCTCATTCTCACACGCCTGTGCCAGGTAACTCTCGGCAGTTGCTGACGTCAGATGTGGGGGCGTGGGTCTGATCTGCTGTGAAATATAGACCTCGACTTGAAACATTCATTTTCAAATTGAGAATATGTAATATGACAAAATGGAATTTTTTTATTTTGTTTCGTTTAAACCGATCAAATCGTCGCCAGGAATAGTATAAATATTTTACCCATATTTTGTATCCTTGCGAACAGATATCTTTTTGAAATTTTCGTAATACTGAATAATTTTAACATCCTATGTTCATGCAAATTAACACCATAGATATTAAGTACAAACCGGCTCCCATCCGTTTTGTTCCTTGGATCGCCTCATTCTCCGACACGATTTGAGGTAGGTACGGATTCGCTTTCGGGATCGCTCATGAAATTCCGGAAACTGCCGATCACATGCTTCCAAGATGGCCTGGACTTTGTCTTTAGGTTGTTTCGAAATAGGAACCATTCTATCCAAATTTTCATCAACAAACAAACGCACGAACATCTGAAAAACGAAAGTCCAGCATGTATTACACAAAGAATCAAACAACCGTATAACGTTTTTTTCTAAGATTACAAAAACTGACACCCAAGACAAATGTTCAAATTCATATGCTGTGTGTTTTGACCTACTAACACACCACGCCCACTAAAAATGGAAATGGCATCCTATTTGGAACATTAAATTAGGGTCTATATTCCAATATTTGAAATAAACATTATTGAATCATATCCCAGACATACAAGTGTAGGCTTCATTCAGTTAATATGGCTGACAAATCAAAAACACAATTGAAATCTTACATTGAATGATTTTAAACGCTCGGGATCATATTCTTTCCCTGTAGACAGGAGCTTTTCGTCATCGTCCATGTCATCATCGTCGTCGTCATCTTTGCCTCCTTGTAGATCGTCAACAGTTCCTCCCTCACTCGCTCTCGTTGAACTCTAAAGTAGACAAACGAAGCTATGAAAATTACTCAGAATATAAAGATCGATTCAAGCAAATTTTAACTTTTATCAATTTATGAAGGTTTGGTCCTAATTAGTATCCGTGTCAATTCTCAGAATTATACTACAAGGATTAAAAATTAACATGAACAGTACAAGTTGAAAACTAAACAAAACTTATAAACATAATCAATACATTTCGACATAATTCGACCAAAAAACAAGACAATATAAAAACATCTTGTCCATTGAGAAAACCACAATTAACATTGTTAATACTTTAAACGTTGGGAACATGACCTGACTTTTCATAAAAGAAAAAGAAAAATTTGCATGCAAAACATGATAATTGCATGTACAAGTGTACGGGGTGAGGCGCGAACAGATGGGTGTAGTGTCACCATTACCTCACAGCTGTCATCACTGGCACGCCTCTTCCTCTCGGGATGGCCAACTGTAGACGGGATAGGTGATTTACTGATTATAGCCAGGGACAACGCCCTCTCGTCCTCCAGTGGACTGTCTGTCATACGTAGCCCTCGGGGCGTTGAAAGGTTCACCGGGGTCAGGCCCTCACCATTTTCACATGTCGATTCTGTAATATACAAAATACTTTTCTATTGTAACTTCAATTCAGGAATTACTATCATTTCTCAGTTCTCCCTCCTCTATCATTGGCCGTTGAAGACTGTTTAGCTGTTTTTAACGTTGAAATGGACGGCTACCCTTAAACTCTTACGGTAGATAACCGGAAAATTTGACAATCAGCAAGGCTGGATTCATTAGACCCTACAAAACAATATAATGCCGATGGTTGAGCTTTTCTTGTATAAAATATCCAGTCACCACAAGTTCTTATTAGCGTAAGTTCTAACTATAATAGAAACCATACCACCTCCATCAAAATTGTTCTCGTCTTAGTAAATTTCCTTTATGATAGTGTTCAATGTCATAATATACCGACATATTCAATTCGATCGAAATCAAATTTCTTTATTTCAATCCATGAGATACGATTCAATAACGGCCAACGTGTTTAATATTTTGAGTGTCGATCAACCGGAAGGCTTCGTGTTGCGTCTGAAGTGACCAATCAACAAAAACTTCCAATTGCTTAACATTGAGAAAAAGTCATAGAGATCTGAAGTTCAACCGTACATTTGTAGTTATTGAAAACCATAGCGGTCAACCTCTCCGAGAGACGCTAAAGAATCAGAAATGATCGGGAAAATAGAGCCATGACAATTAGTACTCTCAACTACAAACTTATTATTTGTTAAACGTAATCATGGATCCTTGATTTGATGGACACATTACTAGTTATAATCCTGAAACAGAGATCATGGCTTCAGTGACGTAATCACGAGAATTAATTACACTAAAATCACGTGGCTATCATCAACCATTGAGGACTGTAAATATATTGAAATATGTCATTACCATATTGGTGTGTGTAGTGATATATTGGTGTGTGAAGTGATATATTGGTGTGTGTATAGTGATAAAGTGGTGTGTATAGTGATAAAGTGGTGTGTATAGTGATATATTAAAGTGTGTAGTGATATATTGGTGTGTGTGTAGTGATATATAGGTGTATGTAGTGATATATTGGTGTGTGTAGTGATATATTGGTGTGTGTAGTGATATGTTGGTGTATGTAGTGATATATTGGTGTGTGTGTGTGTAGTGATATATTGGTGTGTATAGTGATATATTGGTGTGTGTGTGTGTGTGTGTATAGTGATATAATTGTATGTGTGTTGTGATATATTGGGGTGTGTAGTGATATATTGGTGTGTAGTTATATATGTGTATGTGTGTAGTGATATATTGATGTGTATAATGATATATTGGTGTGTATAGTGATATATTGGTGTATGTAGTGATATATTGGTGTATGTAGTGATATATTGGTGTATGTAGTGATATATTGGTGTATGTAGTGATATATTGGTGTGTGTGTGTAGTGATATATTGGTGTGTATAGTGATATATTGGTGTGTGTAGTGATATATTGGTGTATGTAGTGATATATTGGTGTGTGTGAAGTGATATATTGGTGTGTGTAGTGATATATTGATGTGTATAGTGATATATTGATGTGTATAGTGATATTTTGATGTGTATAGTGATATATTGATGTGTATAGTGATATATTGGTGTGTGTGTGTGTATAGTGATATAATTGTATGTGTGTTGTGATATATTGGTGTGTGTAGTGATATATTGGTGTGTAGTTATATATGTGTATGTGTGTAGTGATATATTGATGTGTATAATGATATATTGATGTGTATAGTGATATATTGGTGTGTGTATAGTGATATATTGGTATGTGTATAGTGATATATTGGTGTATGTAGTGATATATTGATATGTGTATAGTGATATATTGGTATGTGTATAGTGATATATTGGTGTGTGTAGTGATATATTGGTGTGTGTACTTATATATTGGTGTGTAGTTATATATGTGTATGTGTGTAGTGATATATTGATGTGTATAGTGATATATTGATGTGTATAGTGATATATTGGTGTGTATAGTGATATATTGGTGTGTGTAGTGATATATTGGTGTGTATAGTGATATATTGATGTGTATAGTGATATATTGGTGTGTGTAGTGATATATTGGTGTGTGTGTAGTGATATATTGGTGTGTGTAGTGATATATTGGTGTGTGTAGTGATATATTGGTGTGTATAGTGATATATTGGTGTGTGTAGTGATATATTGGTGTGTGTAGTGATATATTGGTGTGTGTAGTGATATATTGGTGTGTGTAGTGATATATTGGTGTGTGTAGTGATATATTGGTGTGTATAGTGATATATTGGTGTGTATAGTGATATATTGGTGTGTATAGTGATATATTGGTGTGTGTAGTGATATATTGGTGTGTGTAGTGATATATTGGTGTGTATGATATATTGGTGTGTATAGTGATATATTGGTGTGTAGTGATATATTGGTGTGTGTATGATATATTGGTGTGTGTATATTGGCTTATATATTGGTGTGTATATATATGTGTGTGTGTATAGTGATATATTGATGTGTATAGTGATATATTGGTGTGTGTAGTGATATATTGGTGTGTGTAGTGATATATTGGTGTGTGTAGTGATATATTGGTGTGTGTAGTGATATATTGGTGTGTGTAGTGATATATTGGTGTGTGTAGTGATATATTGGTGTGTGTAGTGATATATTGGTGTGTGTAGTGATATATTGGTGTGTGTAGTGATATATTGGTGTGTGTAGTGATATATTGGTGTGTGTGTTATATTGTGATATATTATTGGTGTGTGTGTTGTGATATATTGGTGTGTGTATAGTGATATATTGGTGTGTGTAGTGATATATTGGTGTGTGTAGTGATATATTGGTGTGTGTAGTGATATATTGGTGTGTGTAGAGTGATATATTGGTGTGTAGTGATATGTTGGTATGTTTAGTGATATATTGGTGTGTGAAGTGATATATTGGTGTGTGATGTGATATATTGGTGTGTGTAGTGATATATTGGTGTGTGTAGTGATATATTGGTGTGTGTAGTGATATATTGGTGTGTGTTGTGATATATTGGTGTGTGTTGTGATATACTGGTGTGTATAGTGATATATTGGTGTGTATAGTGATATATTGGTGTGTGTTGTGATATATTGGTGTGTGTTGTGATATATTGGTGTGTGTAGTGATATATTGGTGTGTGTAGTGATATATTGGTGTATGTAGTGATATATTGGTGTGTATAGTGATATATTGGTGTGTATATATATATATGTTGTTATATGTCAGTGTGTGTTGTTATATGTCAGTGTTTGTTGTGGTATGTTAGAATTTGTTGGTATTTTGCAATTATCTATCACCATGTTAGTATAAGATATTTGTGTTTTAAGTGTACGTTTCTTAAGTAAACGATGAAGTAATACAAGAATTGTTAAAAAGTTCTCAAAGCCAGTCCAGTATACGTGAACAACACCTGACTTTAGGTAAGATATTCCATGGATCCTAGTCCACAAGGAAGCGGGTTACAAAAAATACCTACCATTCCAAATACATGGGGATATATCTCCACAATTTATATAATACCAGTTACATAGCTATCACCATAATAGAGCTATATGAATTCGATGACGACACATCATATTTCATGTTGGTGACCAAACGAAAACGACAAAATGTTTCTTATCAATAACAACACAGTGATGATAATTTTTTTCTTATCGGTGACGACACGATTTCTTACCTGTTTGTCAAAACATCTTATAACAATAGATTGGAACCAGGAAAAGATTTGCATTGAAAATAAAGCACAAACAGGCAAATATTTTGTCTTATTTGAGAATACTAAGACAGGAAGATAAAAAAACAAAACAAAAATCATAAAACGACAGCAACGTTAATATCCACAAAGGTAAAAAAGTTACGCCATAAAAACGGATGCATGAACATTGATACGCTGTTATGGTTCCCATCAACAGTATCATGATGAAGGTTAGGGATAACAGGCTGCCTGGACTATCGTGTTAAAACCTAATGGCACCTCACAGACCCGACAAGCCCATTTCCGATCTCGGCTCCTGACGAAGCTCTTCACCTTCCCTCGCTTACCGTTAGGTTAATCCCGTGGACTACAGCCGAGACAGATACCCGTTACCATGGTAACCAATCCAATTCATTTTCCTACCTGCCACTTAACGCGTTACCTGTAAAAATCAGTACAGTGCTCACCTATCGAAAAATATCGATTTTTCCAGCAAAGAAGTAGTCTTCTCTCTTACCTTTCTCAAATTCTTCCATTCTAAAACGACAGCTTGAACGCGACCATCGACAATGACAATGTCACTTTCCTTACAAAAATATGGAATTCTTTCAGCACACACTTCGATTTAAATGACAAATTGTCAAAAAAAATTGGACGAACAAATTGGATCTTGGAAAAACTCCCAGCATCGGTGTATGGCAGGTCTCCGCCGACTCTGCGTCCTTTGTGTCGACCGGTGAATAATGGTTCTTCTCCAACCATGTGATCGATCGTCAACTGAGGTAGTGAAGCAGACGACACGATACCTATGGCTCGTGCTTTTAATTATCCGGTATCAGGTAAGGATTTACCTTATGCTAACTTGGTTCCAGCCAATAATTTACAATCCTAAAAAACCTCGGACCTACTTCTTATTCCGTGACGCGTCACACACACCCAGCAGTCAACTGTTCTGTCCTTTTCTCGCTTAAAAACTACTTCCTACACCACACTTCATTCCCATCCACATTCTTAATTGTTCAAAAGACAATACTCATGGGATTTGTCGTCAGAATTCTACAATATATAGGTTTTCATACTTAATTGGACTTACCCACATCAGATTCTTATTTCGCAATAATTGTTCTTTGAAATTTGATTTGAAATTTCTTGTAAGCAATAAAAAATCCTTTTTATTGACTAAACGTTTGCTCGACGAGAAGTTACATTATCAGAACATTCTTTTAATTTCCCAGACGTGTTCAGTCTGTTTAAACGTATTCTGTATTCAAGCTACCTGTTAATTAACTCAACTATTGAAAGCTTAACATTGTCTTTAATTA